GGGGATGGTGGTGGGCAGGGGTGGTGGTGGGCAGGGGTGGTGGTGGGCACGGGGTGGTGGTGGGCAGGGTGGTGGCGGGCAGGGGTGGTGCGCAGGGGTGGTGGTGGGCAGGGGTGGTGGTGGGCAGGGGTGGTGGTGGGCAGGGGTGGTGGTGGGCAGGGGTGGTGGGCAGGGGTGGTGGGCAGGGGTGGTGGGCAGGGGTGGTGGTGGGCAGGGGTGGTGGAGGGGGGACGGGGGTTGTAAGACGGTCCACTGGCGGGTGAAGCAGATAGATATACCCGAGATATAGACGGATATAATCCAGGAGAGTACGACAAATGCGGCATCGGAAATATATTTACTGTTACTGACCAGTGATGACTTGGATTAGCGGTAGTCTTGGCGGCGATGTGGCCATAGCGGGGGTTGCGAAACGAGTTACTTACCAAAGCTGCCGAGTTCGAATCCCAAAGCAGGCAGAAGGCGAGAAGGAAGCGGGAGCCTACCCTACCTGGCCTCCGCGCCAGCTGGTTCGTGGTGCGGCTAGGCAGCTTGCTGGCTGACGTGCACGCAAGGGCCTCCTCCCACCCCCCCACCCCAGCTAACACACACGCCCCTGACCCGACCAACCCAACCCAGCTAGCCAGCCGTGGGTGGTTAGGTGGTTAGGTGGTTAGTTGGGTAGGTAGTCCTCCTCGTGACTCCCCCCTTCCCCTCCGCCCCACACAAAATACACACAAACTGGCAACGCCGGGCAAAGGTGTACGGCACCACTCGTTATGTTCCGTCGTACCTTCTTGCAAAGCTCGGCCTGTTTTTCCGTGTCGTACTCTCCACCATTCAGCCAACCGCTCTCAATCCTCCGTCCCCGGGACTTGATGGCGGCGATCAGGGGTACCAGTCCCTCGCGAACCTGCGGGTACGACATGTTGGTTTGCGTGCACGTGTGCGTGTGTGTTTCGATGATCTGCGCGCGTGTGTGTATTTGTACTTTTTAATAATTGCCTCTCTCCCCCCGGAGCAACAATACCACCTACCGTACCCCACGTCATCATGCCGTACACACACGCACCTGCGTGAACACCTCGTCCAGGCGAGCTGACGTGGCGCCCTTCTCGTAATCGTCCAACAGCACGTCGTACACTGGCTTGGTGGGGTCGATGAGCCTTAGACATTTTTATGTAGGAAAGATGTACGAGCAGGAAAAGTACGACGATGTTGTTTAAGGGAAGCAAGCGGAGGAATGAAATCAGCACCCGGGAAGACGTGTCTCAAAACCCCAACTGCCAACACATTGATGTTCACACGCGGACTGCCCATCCTCACACACCCACACCCACATACACATACACACCCCCACCCCCACCCATCACCGCAATCATACACCTCTCCCCCGCTCCCCAAAAACCCTGTCGCCTCATTATTACCCCCATACCCTCTCCCCCCCTTCTCTTCCCCCCTCCCTCCCGTACTTGGCCTTCTCCTTGCTAATCTCGATCCACTGTTTCAAGAAAGGCGCGAACACGGAGAAGTCACTTTCCGTCCTGGCCTTCACCCACGCCTACGTGAGTCGGGGGGAGTCGGGGGGAGTCGGGGGGGGGTCGCAGTCGGGGGTTCCCGCGGGTTTCGGGTTTTAGTTTATACGCGCCGCCGTCAGAGCTATGTCGTCAAGGGGAGAACAACACACAAACACAAATATTTTTTCTCAAATTTAAAATGCCGTACTTCACTTGACGGGTAAAGTGTCTGCTACAGTCCTGAAATCGACTTTCTAATTTCTTTTTAGTTTCTAAATTAGTTTTCTATCTTTTAGATCTCAACCTAGGGTAGGGCGGTGGAAACTTAGCGGCGCACCAAGGAGGTCTCCTCCCTCTCCTCTCCATAAGGCGATGGTGGGTGCAATGCTGTACGGTTTGTGTGTGTGTGTGTGTGTGTGTATGTGTGTATGAGGGGGTTGAAGGGGAAGCCCGGGAAAGGGAGCAACCACCGCAACCGCAGACAACGCCCAACCACCAAAGAATTCTCCCAAACGCCACCACCCAGCTGCAACCGCAGCAGCACTGACATCCGTACGACTTTCACGCATATGTATGACTACGATGTCATGTCGTACAATCGAACACCATGTCGTACATACCCCATAGGCCTCGCTTTTTAGCTTCGCGATGCGCTGGGCGAGTTCCTGTGGGACCGAAATGAAGCGCAGGAGGCAGAGAAGGTGCGGGGGAGGGGTTTGATGGAGGGGGGGGGAGAAGATGAACCACAAACGAGTGAAGCTGCTGCCAGGGCAAGGGGGGGGGAGGAGGGGCAAGTATCCGCAACAGGTGATGGTGTATGTGTGTATGTGTGTGTACAAGATTGGGGTAAGGGTTTTTTACTCGGGGACAAAACAAGAGTGCAGGCAACATGTCATTAGAGATCAAAAACATCAGCAACAAATGTCGCCACTGCTGAAAGTACGGCACAGCCCAGCAAGGCGGCACAGCCAGAGCGGCGGCGAAGGAGGGAGACAAACCAACCGCCTCATCCCCCACCCCCCCACACACCGAATCCGCTCAGTGCAGAACCAACTAGAGGAGCGCAAACGACAAATGTGTCCACGTAACACACCAAGCTGTGCCTGCCTCGAGCTAACCTTCGGCAGTGCCGTACGCTTCACGTACTCCCGGGCGGCATCACGAACCACGGCAGCCTGTGTGTACGGCACCCAGCGGGATAACGTGGGGAGTGAGGGAGGGTGTGTGTTTCGGGGGGTTGTCATGGGGGGGTGGGGGAGATCTAGGGGTCTCGTTGTTTGGTGGGGCTTTGGAGAAACGTCTGTTTGACGCGAGGGAAGAGGGGAATTTGTAGATTTGATTTAAAACAAAGAATGAATGGCTGAAGTCCAAAAGCAGGATGGGGGTAGAGAGGGGAAAAACTACACAAAGGTCGTGTCAAAGGAATTAAGCGTCAACAATAGCAACATCCGAAGCACCGATTGCCGTACAAGTACAAAGCAGCACTGGGGGAGGAAATTTGAGGGGGAGAGGGAGAGAGGGGCCATTGAGTTCGTCCCGCCAGCCGACAGCTGGTCAGGACGGGGCGGTGACTGGCGCAGGAGTAGTGAATGTACGGCATCAAAACACACACACACACACACTCACCTGCACCTCGTCCAGGGTCCCCGGGGGAGCAGCCTTGAGGGAGTCCAGAAGCGCGCCCAACTGTGCGCGTGTTGTGTACGCATGTATGTGTGCGTACATTTGTATAATATTGGAAGGGAGGGGAAAACAGGGTAAACAGGGTTGGCGTGTGTGGTGTGGACAGATACACAGACAGACACAAATTTCGTGGGGATTGGAATTAGGTTCCAGAGAGATCCAGGGAGGGCGGGAGTTTTCAAACGAAGGGGGGGGAGGCAGAGGGGGCCCAGAGCGACATGTTGCTCGGGGGAGCACCAGGAGAAACCCTACGACCCACGACATACATACAGAGACGCCATACAACAAAGGGCGCAAACCCTGGAGCAAAGTGATGGATAGAAAGGAAAGAAATGCAATCGGTACGGCACGAACCTGCCGTACCGTATGCGGCGGAAATGAAGACAAGAGCAAGCAGCGCCCGACGGTCCGAAGCGGCAATAGATAGGGGCTTACAACCGCCCGGGCCACACCGATAGACATACAGACAGACGGACAGAGACGCAGCAAAGAGAATATATGGAGACACACACGAGCACAGAAGGATGCAATGCGCGATGCCGTACCTGCGGATCGGTCTCCTTGTCGTACAACACGCCCGCCAGTACGGCCTTTTGTGATCCACGGCTGGCCGCCGCTCCCGGGGGCATCATTACCTGCGTGTGTTCGGTTCGGTTCGGTTAGTTAGTTATGCGGTTATTGCCGTTAGCGGACAGGGAGGTTGTGTCGTTGGGGAAGATGTAACTGACTGCAGTGCGTGGGAACATACCAGTGCGGGACACATCGGTTGCCTGACTAGGCACTTTCTAATCCGGACTGCCTTTTGCTTTTGCTGCTGCTGCTACTGCTGCGCTTCACATTTTATGGTTTGATCCTAGAAAAAATATAGATTCGAGTCCAACATAAAAGTCTTGGGGGCGGCCATATGAGCTATGCCGTTCAGGTCCCCTCAGAACTCACTGTCGTACAATAGAGCTGGGGTCGTAAACAGCAAACGACCTACCAACGGTCTAGCGCGGTCACACACGTAAACTGCCGTACCACGGCTACAGAAAATGCACCTATCGGCGGATATACATACATACATCAGGCAGGTGGCAGGTGGCTGGCAAAGGTTAAGGCCTGGCTTCTGTTCCCGGACGACCCGGGTTCAAATCCACCTGCCGACCTCTCGGGTGTTTGAGGGGTGATGGAATGGGAGGTGGCCCCCCATCTTATGGACGGTGTAGGACGTGATAACATCAACTTGCGAGCTGACCAGGAACTAAGTTGAGGCGCCGTTGATCCGCTAGATTTGGTTGGATGCTGGTGGTGAGTTGCCGAACCCAACGAATACAATCTGAAGTCGGATGGGGTGAACGGATTAGGGTGCCCCTCTCGCAGGGGAGAGCAGGGACTACCTCGGGAAGGGGGCCGCTGGTGAAGCTTAACCACCCTGTAACGACATACATACATCAGAATTCCGTTAGGCCTATCTGTAGACCAACCCAACAAACACGCGGCTCGGTTTTTAAAGGTATGACGCCATGCGCACAGAGCGCTAATAATAACAAGCCAAGATGGCATATTCCCACAAGGGGTTTGGGACATTCGTTGGACCCACCATCTCGTCCCAATCCAGGAGTCCGCTGATGCCGTTAAGGGAGCTGATCTCCTTCAATCGCTCGCACAGCGCCTCATAGGCCTGAAACGGGTTGTAAATGCGTATTTAGAAAAGGGTCATTCGGGGCTGCATTTGGAGCACACCCACCAGCGACAGAACACCGGCTGACGCAGAGACCCCCCCGAGGGGGGAGAGAGAGAGAGAGAGGGGGGGGCAGAAAGACAGAGAGAGAGAGACAGAGAGAGAGAGGGGGGGCAGAAAGACAGAGAGAGAGAGAGACAGAGAGAGAGAGGGGGGGCAGAAAGACAGAGAGAGAGAGAGAGAGAGACAGAGAGAGAGAGGGGGGGCAGAAAGACAGAGAGAGAGAGACAGAGAGAGAGAGGGGGGGCAGAAAGACAGAGAGAGAGAGAGAGAGAGAGAGAGACAGAGAGAGAGAGGGGGGGGGCAGAAACAATTAAGTGAGATTCACGGGAAGGCAGTGAGACAGAACGCGTGTATGTGTATGTGGGGGGAAAGAGAGAAGTACTTGTAGGCGTGCGGGGAAGGGTTGAGGGTAGGGAAATAAGGGGTGAGTTATGAATGGACGAGATTCGTACAGCCCCCATCCTCACCCAAACAGTAAAGGATTTAAGAGAAACCCGCCCCTCCCTAAACACCCGTTCCCCCCGTCCCCCTTCGCCCTTCACCCAAAACCCCACCCCGTAGGAAACTCGGAAATCAGAGGCAGCCTAGACCTACAGACTGACAGACAAACAGACAATTAGACAGGCAGACTTCTAGGCAGGCGACCTAAACTCAAGCATACCAACCGACCGACTGACGGACAGACGGACAGATGGATGGAGGATGAATTGGATTTAGGCAGACCGACGGGCGGATGTCAGATAGCCGAACAGCTATTGGCATGTTCCGTGCGTCCGCCTAGCCCTTCCCCAGCCACCTCATGCAGCCCAGTCGTCTACCCCTGCCCAAGCCATCTCGTGTCGACCATCCAGTGGGTGACTCAGTGGTGGATCAGCCGGAGTAACGACCTCTCTGCTCAGTTTCCAACCTTTCCCCACATCGCCACGGCATGCCTTAGTTATCCCATCCTGCCCTGACCTCGTACCTTGGCCGGCTCCGAGGGAACAGCCGTCATGACTGCTGTCATGACTGCAGTACTGCCGCGTTGCCTGAGCTGAGAGAGCTTGCTATGGGAGCGGCTGCCCTTCCTGCCCGCAAATGCGAAGGATCGACTAGCGAGGCCCCCAGGGGCAGGTCCCAGTAACGAACCAAACGTGTTAAGATATGTAGCAGATGGGGACAGGTGAAATCCGCCACGCCAGGTAGTTGCCAGCATCAGGTCTTACGAAGGTGTGGAAGAGCTACTACCGCAAATTTCCCTCTTAGCTACCAAACCTCCAAAGGAATCCTCGATATAAATTTGCCTTCATCCGGAAGAGTGTATCTTTGGAAATTCAATACCACTGGTTTCGGTATCGGAGCTCCATACGATATGATGGCGATATGGGGAGTGTCGCACTTACATGCACACGGTTTACAATTATGTAGCTGTTTCTTGCTTGTGTTAACATTGTCAAAATAAGCCTTTGGAGCTCAAAGTAAGACAAGGGCGGGAAAATCCCGGCGGACGGCAGGGAGGTAGAGTACGTTTCGACGTTAAGCATTGACAAGACTATGCACAGCACTTTCCTGATGATGACGCACGCTGTCTCCAACGCATTTCAGAGGCCATTCATTGTTTCGGAAGCAGCTGAATTCCAGTCAGGTGATGGTTGTATTGAGTGCTGATCTTATACGAATTTTTGCAAGAGCCTACAGTAGGAGGCGCGCGCAAACGCACACTCGTGAACAGAGTGACACCCGCTGGTGAACGAGTGGATGTGCAGAAACTCGCACGGCTATGTTATCGCACAAAGCACGGATGCGGGCTGAAGGTTTCCTCAACGACTAGACGGCAAAATCGAGTGTTTAATCGTTTGCGTACGAAACATCAGCGGTTGCTCAGAGAAGCGCAAGAAGCCTATCGGGTGAACTCTCGCGTAACTGCAATAGTAACCCAATGACTTTTTGGCAGTTTATTAACTCGTCCACTCAGGAGGAGTGTCCCCTGGCAGTTGGAGCGGGTACTTCAGCGACTTGTTTGACGGTGGCACGACTGCTTCTAGGGATAAGGATGCAGAGTCTATCGTGAGCTTCACCGATGGCATGTCTAGAAGTAATGGTCGGGGTTGGGTTGTTACTACGGTTGCGTGAGGACGACGTGTGGAGCCAGCTGTTACCTCGGCACTTGTGAGCAGTGCCCGGCCCCCATCGCTGTCCACGTCCTCTGCTTCTGGCATATGCTTGGGATACGCATGTAGCGCCTCCAGCACTTGCACCCTCACTTGCTGTTTCACTGCTGTTGGCAGTTCGGCTGCTGATGGCATGGCACTGACATCCCGCCAGTAGTTGGCTATGATTTGCGGTATCCAGGCCAGGTTGCTGTCCAGTTGCCCAGTGCTGGGATCACGGAGTCTGGAGGGGCCCGGTCCAGCCCCACAATTGCTGGTCTCTTGGATAAGGGCGGTGATGGGGGTGGGAGGGGTGTCCTCCGTCACTGATCCAGATCCACCACCCCATGAGCACTTCAGTGCTGCAGCAGCAGCCTGCATGCCTTTTAGCACCACGTCCTGGGCCGCCACCGCTTCAGCCTGCCGTGCCATGTCGCGGGAATTGGCATCCAGGGTGGGCACAGCCTCCTGGACTGTGGAGGTGAGCTGTTGTATGATGTGTGAAACAGGGGGGTATATCTTTACCCGTGGCCGGTACCCTGCAAAACCCTGCCTTCCCCTGTATTTTGGGGGCACCTTCATCCGGTCACCCTAGTCAACTTCTCAGTGGATCGCTCAGGTTCAGCACCCACCACCAGCATCCAACGGAATCTGCCGGGTCAATAGCTGCCCAACTCCTTTCCTGATCGGCTCGCAGGATAACTGTATCCCAGGTCACCTCCGTCCATCAATTAGGGACGCAATACCTTCCACCAGCGGAAGGATTTTCGACTCTTGACAGGTCTCGATCCCGGGATCTCCCGGGGGCAATGGTCGCGCGTTACCAGTAGTGCCAAACCCTGTTGTATGCTGGCAGCAGGTCTGGTGTGGTGGGTGGTGGCTAGCTGGTTGAGGCAGGCCACCTGGGCTGTGAGTCGGCACTTGAACGCTAGCCACCAGTCTCTCATAGGTTTGGGCGGCTGTTCCTTTCCTGTCGGTGCATTCATGACTTGCACATTTAGCCAGTCACCCATCATGCACTTGAGGTCAGGGTGTGCAAGGAAGTGGAGGTGGAGGTGGCCCAGTAACTCCTGCCATGGTGGCTGATGCTGTGTGGCAAGGCGGATGAGCGAGAGGTGGTGATCCGAGGGAGAGTCCACATGTATTGAGGCGCCGGCCGGCGGTGATGAAGGGCTGGGTACTTCCGGCAGGTACATGTGGTCCAGCCATGAGCCCTCAGCCTGGGACGCATGGTACATGTGTGAAGTCCCAGCACTGGAGGTGCAGCACTCAGAAGTGGTCAACCATCATCGCTGTGGTGGTGGCGGCGGCCTGGAAGAGCCGGGGAGGGGCTGTGTCGCCTACCCATTTGTTGGGGCCCCCAGAGCTGTCGAGGCCTGGGTCTTCTACAAACATGTAGTCCGCTGCACCAGACGAGCAGTGTCCCATCCATGGCAGCAGTGCTCACCATGGGGACAAGGCACATTTCGCAGAGTTGTCAGTGTTGGAGTGTGGATGCACCTGGGTGGCTGGCATGGGGGAGTAGACATTGCAGATCTGCAGCTGGTGGCCACCCCACTGGGGGCTGCACACTGTGAACCAGCCATTGGGTATGTCCACGGTTGAGCGGATGGCACTTATGGCCACCAGAGGGGTGAGGTTCCACAGGACCATGATAGCCACGCTGGCTGTCTAGGGTCCTGCACTGGATCCTGAGTGTCCCCGGACAGTGCATCCAGGCTGGTGGCATCATTCCAAGGTGCTCCCAGAGCATGCTGCAGCAGGGCAAGGTCCTGATGGCTGTTATATCATGACTACAGAAAAGTACCGATCGGTGGATGCAGATCCCGTGATATGCCCAGATTACTACAGTACCTTGGCCTAGCCCATTTCAGGGTCATTGTGGATGCTGCCACCTCGTACCAGAATGACCAGCAGTCATCCCCATGGGCCCCTAATTCACCTGCCCAACACTGTTGCTCTTTTGCTTTGACTTCAACCCCGCAGTGCCCACTGTGCCATGATGAAGCTGACCTCCTGACGAGGCAAATAAAAGGGTTTGCAGATGGTTGGCCTTATGGGTTGGTGGTTTTGGGGTTTCCATCAAGTATGGTTTGCCATGTTTTTGCAAACCCCCCAAATCACCAACCGAAAAACCGAACCGCCTGTGAGCCCTGCTCCCATTACTGCCCTCATCAGGAGGTCGACTTCATTATGACACAGCAGGCACTGCGGGGGTATGGCAAGTTTAAATTAAACACAGTCATAGCCCTACTCGAATGTCTTCGAGAAACTCAAACAGCCTGTTAGCCTGCGCAACAAGGTCAGCGGTGCGCGCGCTGAATCGCCGCCTGCTTGCAGCAAACAACATTGGAGCAAACAGCATACATTTATGGGCTCGCCTCTTTCGTCAAAGCTTTTTATTACCTTTTAATCCTTAAAAAAAAGGACGATATAAAAATCCCCGCACTGCTCAGGACCCAAGGTCAAAACAAACTGCTTCGGCATTTGCCTTAGGCACGCCACATGTATCGTTACCTAGTTTTAGAAAACATGCATTACTTCTAAAACTGGTATGTGCGTTGGGCACCAAAAAATGTCCTGCATGTTTGTCGAGGCCCGTGGGTCGTACTGATGCCAGGCGTTGTCCTTTCCACTGAAGCGGCTATCCAACATGCGATATGGGGTGTTTGGCAACTATTCCGACAGCTCACAATGTTTCTCTGATATTCAAAAGTATGCCGCTCTGGAAAGCCATCTTTGAAGTCATCTAATGAAGCAAGGTCCCTAGCAGACGAAGGTGCGTTGCGGCTGCTGCCTCAGGGTCGATCAGAAGATTGACATCGATTTCTCTACGCACCTACCGAGGAGGCTCCGTCACTAGTTTTTATCCAGGACTCATCAATACCGCTGTTTACCAATCATGCCCGCGTCGCATGTCAATCCTGTCCATCACATCGCAGCAGAACACATCACATCAAATCAATTCGGTTCAATTCTGCCCCCTCACTTTTTTCCGGCTGCTGTTTGCGACCGTGGCTGTCTACCTCCCCAGGACGTAGCTCCTGGCTGCCTGCTGCTGGGATCCTACACGTTCTCTCTGCCAGCTAGTAGCTTCCCCCGACACGTTACAGCTTGCTAGCCAGCAGGACCGACCAGCTGCTGCACCATGCGCACGACCATGTAATGATCAAAGTAGCAATTGACAGAAGGAAATAATAAAAAAAAGTAAGGAAAGGGAAGGAAAGGAAAAAAGAAAGGAAGGTCGCCGCTGAGGAGAAGTTGCAGAAGGTGCGGCTGCAGATTCTCAAGTAGATCATCAACGAATGGAATAATGGTGATACGCTAGATGCTTCTCGCAACAGCTGCCGTAGCGCTCCTGGCATTCGGCGCTGGTCAGCTGCTAGGAGTCCGCCTGACTGATCCAACCGCAATCCGCCGCCAGCAGCGGCGCGCGCAGCGTCTCCTCTTGCGGCTGCTGCTGCTACTGCAACAAGAACATCTTGCGGCCCGGCAGCGAGTTCAACAGTATCACCACCAGCAACAGCAACAGGGTCAACAGCAGCGGCGTCATAAGGCCCAGCAAAGATTAGAAGATAACAAGGCGGGAGACAGGGAGCTTCACGTAGAGCCAGCGGCGGCGGCGGCGGCGGCGGCGGCGGCGGCAGCACCGCAGCAGGCGGCAGCAACAGGCCCCGTGGCCAAGGGGGGGATAGGACCGCTGACGGCGACGGCGGCGGAGACTGCAGCGATCTGCCAGGACACTACTGCCGCCGGATCGACAGACCATACGAGGCGACGGGTACGGCAGTACGGAGGTGATGATGCCGCCGGCAGCGGCCAACTTGCGGGCCTGGGTGCGTCCGTCGATGCTTCTGGCGGTCGCCGTGCTGACGGCGTCGGCGGTGATGTTGGTGCTGATTCTGACGGAGGCGGCGGCGGCAGCGGCGGCGAAGTTGCCGTCGGAATCACTGGCGCGCCGGGCATGGCTGCTGCTCAACGCCGGCGCGTTGGTATTAGCGCTGGCGGCGCCGAGGCGCGGCCTGCTCAGGGCGGATCGGCGCCTGCGGCACACGGGGCCCAAGGTAGCATGTGGCGCAGCGGGCTGATGCCCGTCACCGCCGCCGCTGTCGTACCAAGCGACGGCAACGACGACCAACTGACTAGCGATGTTGGTGCGACAGAAGTGCCTGGTAACGAGCAGAACAACCCTGAAGCTCAAGAGCCTCGGCGCGAGCTGCTCCTGCAGCACCAGCAGCACCAGCAGCACCAGCAGCACCAGCAGCAGCACCTGCAGCAGCACCAGCAGCAGCACCTGCAGCAGCACCAGCAGCAGCACCTGCAGCAGCACCAGCAGCAGGGCGGTTTCCTGTGGGGCCTACCCCGCCAAGTAGCTAGGGCAGTTCTTCGGCCCTTAGTGCACCTCCTGCTGACGGCCTCCAGCAACCCAGATATGCACGCGGATACTGCTGCCGCCAGCGGCACAGCTACAGCCGCCGTCACTAACAGCGCCGCCGTCGCCGCTCTCACTGCTGCCGGCAGCGGCGTACAGCCCGCCGGCGTCGGCGATGACGGTACGGCATCCCGGGAGCCGCCCGTGTTATCGACGATGGAGGGCATGACTCAGCGGCAGCAGCACAGGTCGGCCAGTTGCACGCCGGGGGAGTGCAGACTGGAGCACCATCGGCAGCGACGGCGACGGCGGCGGCAGGTCGTCATCATGGGCTCCTACGAGGAAGATCTTCTGGCGGCGGGCGGCCGGCTGGACAGAGGCGCCGCCGCCGCCGCCGCCGCTACCGCCGCCGCCAGCCAGGTCCCGCCGCCGCCCGCGATGGGAGCCCTCCGGACCGCTGACGTCGCGACTGACCAGCGCCATTATCAGAAGCGTATTGTTGCCGCTGCCGTCGCCGCTGCCGCCAGTACGGCCGCTGCGGGTGATGAAGCCGCAGCATGGCCTGGCGGCGCTGCGGAGCGTACGGCGCGGCATGACGTACACTTGGATCTGGATCAAGGGCCTCACCGGAGTGCAGATTGGAAGGGCCTCACCGCCGCCGCCGCCGGTAGCGGAGGAGAGCCACTGTCCAGCGCCCCCGCCGCGGCCGCCGGCGGGAGAAGCCGAGCGCTGTGGCTTCCGTCACTTCCATCACTTCCGGAACCTTCCCGGACTCACGTGATCGCTGTGACGCAGGCCAGGCCAACAGCTGCTGCTGCTGCTGCTGCTGCTGCTGCTGCTGCTGCAGGAATGGATAGCGCTACAGCCGACATCGCGAGACGGATGCCACCAGAAACTGTTGCTACTGCTACAGGTGTTCCGTCGCCACAGCAGCTTCCACCGCCACAGCCGTCATTAACGTCATCGGCGGCGGTGGCGGCGGCGATGCCAGCTTCGGGCGCCATACGTCTAGCCAATGCACCCGCCTTGCCGGACACGGCTGTTGCTGCTGCTGCTGCTGCTGCTGTAGCTGCTCCGAAGCCGTTCCCTTACGCTCCGCCGCCACTGACGCCGCCTTCGGCACCGCTTCCCATAGCCCCTGTGACACCACCAACACCACCGACAGGCCCAGCAGCGGCGGCGCCGAGGGCTCCGCGTTCTCGAGGACTCCACTCACTTATTACAGGCGTGCACAACGACGGCGACGGCATGCAGTGGGGAGCAACGGCGCCGCCGTCGCCATTGCTGGCGGCGCCACTCGCAGTAGCAGCGCCGCCGCCGGACTGCGGCCTTGCGCTGGACTGCTTTACACCCGACGTCTCGGCATCGTCGACGGCGGAGGCGCCATCATCGGCGGCGGCGGAGGCGACGGCAAAGGACGGGCGGCGACCCATGGGTCGCTCGTGGGACAGCCTCCCACACGCTCTCCTAGTAGAGATTGCGCGCCACGCAGGCGCGCCCGCGCTGCCGGAGTTGCAGCCGCGCTACGGGCCGCCGCCGCACATGCTACAGCCGCTGCCAGTTCCGTACGGCATGGACGAGCTGTTCCGTGAACTGTCCCTTGGCAATACTAGTGGTGGCGGCGGCTGCGGAGGAGGAGGGAGAGGAAGGCATGGTGAAATGGACGTGGAGAAAGAGGGCCACGCGGCGGCGGCGGCGGCGGCGGCGTTGCGGGTGGCACTGACGGCGGCGGCGGCGGCTGCTCGGCGGGTGGCAGCGCCGTCGCCGCCTGCTGCGACGCTGGCGGCGCTGCGGCTGGTCTGTCGGCGCATGCGGCGAGCGGTGGATGAGAGCGTTGAGGTGCTGTGTCCGCGGCACTGGCCACATCGTCTGGTCGGGTGGGTGGGTGAGGGGGCGGATGTGATGTGATGTGATGGGTACAAGCAGGAATGATGGCGCTAGTTATTTAGGAGGTTTAAAATGTACGGTGTACGATGTATGGAAACGGTAGCTGCCGCCGCTCTCACAGCAACCGTTCAGTCCAGATTGAGGCTTGAGTTTGATGTGTGGGACAGGGGGGCATGTCTTCACCCTGTGGCCGCTACCCGGCGAAACCCGATTTTCGGGGCACCCTCATCCAGTCACCCCAGTCCAAAAACTTCTCAGTAGATCGCTCAGGTTCCGCACCCACCACCAGCATCCAACGGAATCTGCCGGGTCGACTGCAGCTCAACTCCATTCCTGGTCAGCTCGCACGATCACTTTATTTCATGTCACCACCGTCCATCGACTAGGGACACTCTGACAAACCGTCGATCCCGGGGATTTCCGGGGACAACAATGTGTGCTATGTCTATTGTGCCAGCAAATCAAATAGAAGATTTATCTCTCGACGACGATGGGACTCGAACCCACAACCCTCAGATCCGAAGTCTGATGCGCTATCCATTGCGCCACGTCTCCTAGGATGATATATGCAAATTGTGTCTCTGTATGTTTGATATCTACTTGGTTTATCCGTCTGTGTTTTTCCCCTCCCCCCACTCTCAGTCTTGAGCGGTTCCCCCGTCTTCGGCGTCTAGACCTGGGCGCACTGGGCCCGGACCCGGCACCTCTCAGCCGTCTGGCGGGACTGTTGAAACACCTAGCTGCCGTACCAATGGCACCCCCCGCATCGTCACCGCCGCCGCCGCCGCCGCCATCACGGCCATCACCACCACCACCACCACCACCACCAGCAATAGCTGCTCCTGAAGGGGAGGGACGAGGAGGAGGAGGAGGGCAGGGGAGGCCGCCAGCGTCGCCGCCGGCGCCAGCCAGGGCCGCCGGCGCCGCAGTCGACGGCGTCGCCTCCGCTGACGACGACGGAGCCGTCAGACAAGCGGTAGTCGAACTTGGCCCCCAGATGGGCGGCGGCGGCGGCGACCACGCTCCTGCGACGGCGCTTAACGCTGCGCAGCAGCAACGGCAGCAGCGGGATTTACGGCAGCGGCGGCGGCGGCGACAGCAGGGCATGGTGGCGGCGCCGCCACCGGCGGCTGCGGGTTTATTGGCTGCACGGCTGAGTCTGCAGCATTTGACGTTAAGCAAGGAATGTCTGGTGGTAGCGGGGTGAGAAGGGCGGGAGGGGGGGAAAGGGAAGGACGGGGAAGGTAGGAATTGGGTGAAGGTAAGAAATGTGGGGTGGGGTGGGATGGAGGGAAAAACACAACATGTGTGGTGCCGGTGGTTGCAATAGACCGTTGGATGTGTTTTGCCGTACTGGGTGAGGGTGGATTAGCTTCGTTTGTGGCTTTGAGGGCCCCTACATACCTTCTCCCTGTACGGCATAGCCAAATCCGGTACGTCCAAAATTAAACCCTATTCGCAGCGTTTTGCGCTTCCCTCACCCCCTTCACCACTCTTCACACCTTCCCAACGACCTCTTCACACTTCATCTAAGGACCAGCTGGTAACATTAGCTGGTAACATCTGCTAACCACGTCTTAACAACCGCTAACTGCTAACTACTAACGACCTCTGAACGAACTCTTAAGACTAACCGTCTAACAAGCGTTAGAGGAGTCCGAACATTTTCGTGTTCTTCCTCTGAAGCCCAACCAACCGCGAAATTTACCACCCCGCCGCCGCCACCCCGCCGCCGCCACCCCGCCACCGCCACTCACCGTCAATCCTCGGGCGGGGGAACTGTACATCAGCCGCTTGATGTACGACATCATCGGCACTTCGGTCAGCGGAGCCAAGGCCGTACTTACCGTACCTGCGGGTCTAGGAGAACTGACGGCGCTTCGAAGCCTGGCGATTGTACGGGCAAACACCGCCGCCGCCACCAGCGGCGACTGCGGAAGCCGCGGCATGTCGTACAGTAGCGGCTATCACACCTGGCGGCCTATGACGCCGGAAGCCTGGCGGGAGGCTGTGACGCGGGCGCGGCGGCGAGCGTTGGACGAGACACTGTACGGCAATGGGGATGAGGAGTTGGACGAGCACGGGCACGAGGTCACAACAGCAGCACATCCCATACGCCAGCGCCTAGCGGCAGTAGCCGCTACAGCCGCCGCCGCCGCCGCCGCCAGGGGCACGTCAGCCGACGGCGTCAGCGGCATCCCCGCTGCCGCTGCCGCTGCCGCTGCCGACGCCGACGCCGACGCGGCGGATCGGAACCTCCGAGAGGCGGCGGCGGTAGCGGCGGCGACCGCTGAGATGCTCCGCGCCAGCTGGGGCCCAGGAAACATCTGTACGGCGCCGCTGGACGAGCAAGACGTCTGCGTGCCGTACGGCGGCGGCGGAGAGCGACAGCTGCTAGAGGAGCCTGGTCGTACACCGGGGCTGCCGCCGGCAGCTGCTTCCGGCGGCGACTTTGCCCCAAGAGACGACGACGGCGAAGCTGGCGGCGGCGGCGGCGGCGGCGGCGGCGGCGGGCTGTGGGGTCAGACCACTCGCTGCGATCGGTTGCGTATCCGGTTACGAGACGAGGTACGAGAAACGTAACGCAAATCACTCATAAATGCGCCGACGACGTGTTTTAGTTCTGTAAACTTATATGGCATAAGGGAGTTGCGACTTGAAAGATAGGGCAGCAAATCCAGGGATTCAAACCGCCCAATTTGAAATCCCGAACCCCCAAATTTGGATTCCAAACCACCCGTAATCACCATTCTACACCTGTGGATACATCCAGATATACCGGGATCTCTGGATTCTAACGGTAATAACCGTCCCCAACGGCCGCAGGTAAGTCGACTAGTTCGTCTGGAGCAGCTGGAAGTGTGGGACGTGGAGCGGCCCTTGGCCTTCCTAACTCACATGGCTCCGTTGTCAATTGCCGCCGCCGCCGCCACCGCCGCTGCCAGCGGCGCCGCTCCGGACTTCCTTCCCGCCGCGCCGCCAGCAGTAGCAGCCGTACAACAGCCGCCAGCGGGTGGTCCGCCTGCGGCTCAGCTCCCGCATCAGGCGGCGCATTTGCTGCTACAGCCGACGGATAATGGTGACGGCGGCGGCGGCGGCGGTAACACGGTGTTGCGGCGGCTTGCGCTGTACGGCAATGCAAGCAGCTCCGGAACCACCGACGAGGCGGATCTGCGCTGCATGCGGTCGTTGAGGGAGCTTGTGTTGGGGGAGGCGAAGGCGACGGCGGTGGCGGCCCTTGCACGAGCGGTGCGTATGTGTGCGCGCGCGCGCGCGTGTGTGTGTGTGTGTGTGTGTGTTTTGGGGGGGCGGGGAGAGGGGGAGGGCGGGGTAATATGTCTTCTAGGGCGCGGGAGGAAGGCAAAGAGAGGGCAAGGGGGCGGCGTGCCGGGTTGTGTATGTACGGCACCTTCCGGTTCATCAAAGGACGGGTGTTGACGTTGGCGATACAGTACAGAACGATTTGTAATTTTTTCATCGGAACCTATGAGGAGGAGATGAGGAGGAGATGAGGAAACGTTCCTCCGAAATCAGGGGAGAATTTGAATTGGAGCAATCGCAGCTTGCGCGACAGTTGACAGTTGACAGTTGGTTAGCTGGGGCCCAAAGTGGGGCGCGTTCTTCAGATTGCAGCACTAACCTCCGCCAGATGCGCTTCCACATTGTGGTGTGCTGCCATCACTCGGGCCTACACTGTGGGCTCACTTAGGGCTCCAGTTAGCCGCCAGTCTTCCCTCCCC